AGGAGGCACAAAATATGGTAACCCTAGTTCTGGGGCTACTTTGCAACGGTCCATAGGGAGCCTATAACCCCCATGCACAAACACCAGGGCTGGGCGAGGTGGTTGGGCCTTTGTTGGAGGAACAGGCCGTTCATATACCTTTTGTTGTTGTTGACAAACTGTAACCTAACTGCGCGTATACTATGGGGGCAACCTACCGCCCTTTTGACAAACCCCACATCCCTTGAACTCCATAAAAACACGCTTTACACAGTTATTTTCAACTGACATTTTATTTTACAACATGGCCTGTTTTGTTTCCAAAACACTCTCTTAACTGTTAGTGTTTTTTCTTAGCAAGATTTTGTAATTTGCTGAATGAAGAAGATGTTCAACATTTTGCATTAAACATTTATCTGTCGGTTTGATGATTTCCTCTAAAACGCTATTTGGATCCTCGGCCTCTGTCACTTTGTCCACCAATTTTGCCCCTAGAGCTAAATGTTTCTGGGTTAAGGCACTGCAGCGCGTATCCCAGCGTGATGATATTTAACATACTCTCCATACACAAACTACTGCTAGTTTCTTTAATTTTACAATTCACATCATCTAAAGACCAGTACACGCAGGCATGATGCCTCTGACCAGGGGCATCTATGGCGCACCCAGGACAATCCTCATTTTGTTTGTCTCTCAGGCAGTGCTTGATGATTCCGTGCACAGCCGTTCGCACAATTGCACGCATCATGGTTTTACGGTTATGAACTCGCAGTGGCTTAATACCTAATTTCTCCCTCAACTTTAGATAGTACAGGCCTATAGAATAAGTGTCCCCCGCTGTTTCAGCATTCTGTGGAGCATCTGGTTTTGTGTCTGGGTAAAAACAGATCGGGCCCATACCGCTCGGTCCTTCGGAGCTGTTGGTGTCCAAAATCTCCAAGTCCTCTGAAGAACCATCGCTCGGCTGCTAAAAAATTGACAGTAAGAAATGCATGTAAGGCATCTTTTTCATAACATGATTTTAAAACCTTTTACACCGTGTATCAAGAGATCCCTTCCGCGGGCAGCTTTTAAAAACAACAAACAACAACAGAAATATGTCTGGTCAGAGGATCTTGCCCTGAGATGCTTGGTTGGCTAGAGCCTTTTGGATCAACCATGCACAGAGACATATTTCAGTTGTTGTTGTTTGTTGTTTTTAAAAGCTGCCTGCGGAAGGGATCTCTTGATACACAGTGTAAAAGGTATTAAAATCATGTTATGTAAAAGTAAGCATGTTAGACCCTGAGCACGTGGGCAAGATCCTCTTACACGCATTTCTTACTTACTTACTGTCAATTTTTCAGCAGCTGAGCTGAAGTAGAGGTAATAGCAAAGTGGGCAGGTTTCTGGCAATTTCACAAAAAAATGGGATTGTTCTTTATTTGATTATGATAATCCCTTTGATGATAGACTTCTAATTGTTAGCTAAACTTTCAACTTTTTTTTCTTTATCTTAACTAGTTCCCCAGGTTAGTCCAGAGAGAGCGCATCTGGAGGCACAGTGCTTTCATCCTCTTTCATATGAAAGGCACACATCTCATCCCTCTTCTACTTCAGCTTCATAATCTTGTAAATGCCACATCAAACACACACACAACACACACACACATTGTGCCATTGACTTATATTATTCCTTCTGCATGAAGTCCACCCAGGCGCTCAGGGCTCCCTCTACACCACACAGACTTTGCAGGGGCCCCTATGCTGGAATTGAGGCAGACAGGATTGATGTGCAGGGGGGCTTTTGCATCTGCTGTGCAAGGGTTTCATTCTGGCTCTGAACAGGCTGGCATGCAGGGGGCTTTTGGGGGTTGAGCTGCTGAGGGTACTGCTGGATGCTCATCGAAGCTGATCTGCTTGTCTCAAACCCCAGACAGAGGGGTTGCCCAGGGGTCAGCAACCACAATTCCAGCCAATAGTCTGGAATAGACATTGCAGAAGGGCTGCATTGTATTCATAATGAATGGGCATATTAGAGGTGGAAAACTCCTATTAAATCTTATTCCAGCTTCTATGGTTTATGGCCTCACATAGTTGATCTCACCGGAATGCCTTTATTTCTCTCCTTCAACATACAAATGAAATAACGTTGTTAACATAACATGAGCTTGTTGGTTTAGGGAAGAATGAATTGGTATCTTCTATATTGTTCATAAGGTTTCACTCTCTTCATCACTCAATTAGGCTGAGAAAACAGAACACAAGTGTGAGCTGAAAGCGGATAAAATGATGAGAGCAGCTGCCAAGGATGTACACAGGCTACGAGGACAGAGTCGTAAGGAGCCCCTGGAGGTACAGTCATTCAGGTAGGAATGTCTCTAAAGAGGAGAAAGTTATTGCTGCAAAAAAAAAATCTACCTTTTTTTCTTTTGGATAACTTGACTTCACCACAAATGTAAGTGTCCTTTACAAAAGACAGTTACTGTGCTGCCTGAGTTAGAGAGATCTGCATTTTCTTATCCAAGACTAAAATCCTGTGCTCATTTAAATCCACAGAATTCACATTGATTTTAATGAGAACAGGATTGGATCCCAATATTTTCCTTATCAGGCAGTAGCACCATGCTGCTTAATTTGTCTATCCCTTTGTTTAATAAATGAATTACCTGTGGCTGTCTTATTGTAACACACTTATGAGACCTAAAATGGTATGATAGTTGCAAAGTGACACTTTTTTGTAACAAGTACAGTTTTGTTAGTTTTACTGTAACCACTTACAATGCCTGTCTCTGAAATGTAAATAAGAGGCGTGTTTTGTGTGTGGTAAAGCATGGGGCTTTTATTTTTGTGTATCAGTTGCCTGGGCAGTCTTTCGCCTGGGCAGTCATTCTTCTCTTAGAAAGTCCAAATCTCTGGTGGATTCTTTATTATATTAACAACTAACTGTGGTCTTCTTTTTTAGAGAGAAGATGGCTTTTTTCACACGACCGAGGATAAACATTCCAACCCTCTCTGCAGATGATGTTTGATCACCATAAAGTATTTGTTTTCCCTGACCATTCCATAAATACAGTTTGGTTTTGCTGAAGTTATTTATGTGGTATTATGAAGGTACCAAGTCATTTGTACATTAGAGCTTTTGTCGGTTTTTTAATGTCTAAAGACTTTTTTAGTTTTGTTCTATCATTAGAAAAACCAGCATTAAAGTGACAAGATTGTATAGTTTGTATATTTAGGAATGTATTTTTGGGAAAGAATTTTAAATAAGAACAAATGCAGCCTGAAGTGCTGTTTTTAAATAATATTCTATTTAGACTTATTTTGTACAGCTCTACCTTTTAGAGGTTTTACTGCAATAAAATAAATCTGAAGGAACCTCACTGCTATGTTCTATGGCTATAACACATCAAACTCTTCCTAGTTAATATTTTGTACAATATAGAGAATGCAGGGAACCATTTTTTTGATTCTAAAGTGCTGTGAACGAATACTCTGAGCTGTGAAGTGTTTGCATTTCCTGCTAGGTCATAAAAATGGATGTGGAGTTGAAATACTTGCACTTTTTTGAGATTTGTATTTTCAGATCATGTTTATAATGGATCTGTTTGTTTAACAATTCCAAAAGCCCATTGAAACCACTGCTGTAGGAGGAGGGCTACATGGAACATAAGTCAATTTTAGGTTTTTTTTAATAAAGTGAGCTTTCTGGATGAATTTACCTTTTTTCTCTTTTTTGTTTTTTTAATACAACTATTCCCATCAAGTGGGGCACAGCTAACTCATTCCTTTTCTAATCCACTAACGAGGGATAGCTATTCTACCATTTTTAAACTCTATTTTCAGAGTATTTTTTAGCAAGTAACTCAGTGGGACTTAGGCTCCAAAGTCATTCAGGTACTTTTAAAGATTTTTGTCCTTACATATAAAGAGAAGTCCCTACGGTTGCTTAAGGAATATTTTATTACTTATTTTTCTACAGTTTAAAATAATAATAATAATAATGCAGAAAAAGCAACTAATATATGTATACAAATATACAAAGCAAACATGTGAAAGCACCAGTGTTTTAACATCCCGTCTTTTCTAGCACATCCCAAATTGATTTGCATGATATACTTGACAGCTTTGTCACTAATTCATCTTTGCAGACAGTTTAGTCTTTAATGCTTGTGTGACTCTGAGCCCAGCTTTCAGGTGTGGGTGTTCAATCCACATACGGGTGTTTAGTAAGAGCTGAACTGCTCAGTCTATTTTAATCCCAAGTGCCAATTGGAGCATTCAAATGGCAAGTTTGGATCCAGCGTATCAAGAGATTATGCTTTCCATAGTATTAGAGATACTATTTATTTTTTCTGCACTCCCATAGATTGAACTCCTTCTCACGAAGTTTAATTGTATGCATTCCTTTGGATCATTAATTTGTTCGGAGCTTTTGGTGACTGAACAGGCGCTCCACAGAATAGAGCACTGGCAGTTTTATATGATACAAAAAAGACTTAAGTGAGTAAACTTACACCCTCTGTTCTACAAAAATGGACTGTTCTAAGTAAATAAGACTCTCTGCAGATTGAGGGCACTACATACTAATATGTATATGTTAGCCCCTGTGTGAGAAGGTGTAACTCTGCTGAAGTCATAGAGCTACATCCCGGTGCTGAATTTGACCCAGTGTTGTACTACCAAGAATCCAATTCAAATTTTTAGCTGTACAAGTTGCACTGTTTTGTAGGAGTGGGGGGAAAAAAACCTGATAATTTTAGGGCCTGATCAAAGTCCCATTAAATTCAATGGAGTCTTTCCATTAATTTTAATGGGAGTTATATCAGGCCCTCCGCCAGGTCAATACAATGCATTTCACTTCTCAGATTTGTTATTGGCTGTTTGTAAAAGATTATATTATGTCAAATAATGGATTTCCAGTCAGTAAAAATAAACTATGAAACTTGGTGTATTGCTGCTAAAATCAAAAAGATCTTAAAATCTTATAATTTTGTAGTAAATTACCTAGTATTGAGTACTTGAATAATGCTGCTTTAAAAAACATCTACCATATTGCCGTACTCTAGAAAATTATGAAAAAGAGATGTGACTACTTTGTCCAGAATTACTGTAATTGATAGCTAAGTTTTATCAAACTACTACCTGCTTTGTTATATAATATTGGGGTAATTTAACTTGAAAATGCTGATTTGAATGGTTTTTATTGTGCTAATTTTTTATTTTCTCAAAAACTTCTAACCTTTGCAAACCACCTTTATAGTAATGACTCTACTATGGTGGGGTGGAATTGGGGAGAGAATGCAATTAAGTCCAGAATAAAGACTAAATTACATTAGTCTCTGTCCATTAAAGCTGACAAATACTTTTAAAATGCAGGTCTCTTGATGTATATACTATTTTTCTATGTATGAAACATTTTAATAGGCAACAACTATACATTGTTATCCTATGTATACTGTAATGGTTTTGTCAGAATTAATGGTAATTAAAAATATTACAAAATTACATAGTTGGTCTACACACTTGTATGTTTGGGGTGGGAATAGGGGATGTTTCTGAACTAACTTTAAGTGGTCATAATAAAATAAACTTGCATCAAGTCTTTAAAAAAGATTACTCCTCAGAAATTGTATTTAACTATAATGTAAAGTAGGAGATAGATTTTCATGTGGACACTTAACATATAAATCTTATATGTTAGAGGAAACAACAACAGTGGCCCTGGATGTCTGGGCATAGTTCCCCATAGACTTCTGGACACAGGGTTTTAATACTCTCTCTGCCAAACACTCAGTGGAATCTCCTCACAGTGGGATACAAGAGTGAGGAATCCTTTGAAGAAAAATACGACTGGTGGACCTGCTCAGTGGGAATTGGACCTGGACAGTGGCTTGTTCATTAGGTCATAGATATCTTACAATTGTATTTAGCTTCCAAAGCATGCCAGATGCATTCCAAACCTCGGAAGTGCTCAGTTTAACAGTCTTATTCAGCTCAACCCTGTAGCTTTAATTTAAAATCGGTATCCTCAGTCACAGGCGCCAACAGCTGTTTCGCAGCGCCAAGTGCTGGGAGGGAGGGGGAGAAGCAGGGCAGAACGGAGGTAAGCTGGGGTGGGGGGGCGGGGAGCTGCCAGTGGGAGCACCCACCAATTTTTCCCCGTGGGTGCTCCAGCCCCGGAGCACCCACAGAGTCGGCACCTATGTCCTCAGTGCTTCATGTACTTAATACTACAGTGTTGAGAACTATAGACAAATCTTAAAGCTAGATTAGATGTGTTAGTTAGGCAGAGTCAACCCGCTTAATAAAGCACTCAATTGACACAGCATTCTTCATTGAAGTCTCTTGACAGGAGGATCTTAAAAGACTCCCACTGCTCGATAATGAAGTAATATGTAGAAAGAATGAACTTTGTATAGGGATTTGATATGTTTTACTTGTAGTGACCAGTGGTAGTTAGATCATGTATAGCAATTTATGCATTGATTTTTGGTGTGACCTTCAAAACTGACTGGAGTTAAGAAAGTGGTGGAATAAAAAGGGTCACTTTGTAATATGAGTACTGTAATACCTTTGATACCTCTGTACTCAACACTGATTCACATATAGTGACCTTCCCAGTTATAACTTAGAACAATTAGTAAAAATACAATGTAGTTAATATAAATGCCTTCCAATAGTACATATATTGATGAACTCCGCAAAGGGGGAATATGTAAATCAGTAATATAAGCAACCTTCTGGCTATCTGATTTAATGGTAATTACATATTGAAAACAAACACAGTGTGGTTACTCAATAATTGCAATGTAACTATTTTGTAATTATTGTACTCTTAAAATGCCAACAGTTAGCTGAAATGTTAGAGTCTTTGATACATCCCCTCTTAACTATGCTAGCTAAACAAAAGCTTAAATTTTAGATCTCTACCTTGTCTCCTTCAAGTCGGAAACAGTAGTAGAAAACAGCAATCCAGCACTTGTAGGGAGTGGATGGGGGCAGGGTGGGGCTACCCTTCCTCCCTGTGGAGTGTCCTATTTTTTTAATGTTAAAATATGGAATCTCTACTCACAGCGCAGCTCTCCATTCACAGCGGGCTACAGCATGAGGTCTCAGCTTCCTCACTCCCTCCCGCTCTTTCCTGTTGGTAGTGGCCAAGGGAATGCTGGGAAATGTAGTTCTGCTCCAGGGCTGGCTCTATAGGCAGGAGCTAACCAACGAACTACAGCTCCCAGGGGCCCCTGTTGGTTCTCAGCTCCCATGCTGGATCCCTGCCGCCCCTGCAAATGGGCTGCCCCAAGCACGTGCTTGCTTTGCTGGTGCCTAGAGCCGCCCCTAGTGGGTGCTTGCGCCCCGTGCCCCGACTCTGCCCCCTCCCTGCCCCTATTAGACCCCTCCCCAAATCCCCGCCCCGGCCCAGCCTCTTCCCCGAGCGCACCACGTTCCTCCTCCCCCCTTCCTCCCAGCGCTTGCTGCGCAAAACAGCTGTTGCGTGGCACAAGTGCTGGGAGGGAGGGGGAGAAGCAGGACATGGCAGCGCGCTCAGGGGAGGAGGTAGAGGTGGAGGTGAGCTGGGTCGGGAGGTGCCGGTGGGTGCAGAGCACCCACCAATTTTTCCCCGTGGGCAGGGCTGGTGCAAAGAAGTTTCGCGCCCTAGGCGCCCCGCCTTCCCCCGCCTTGCGGCAGCTCCTCCCCCCCCGCGGCAGTCCCCCCCCAGCCCGGGGAGCCGTGCAGCAGCTCCCTGTTAATACAGCGTATACCCCCCGCCCCCATTCGTTTTGGCCAGGCTGCTTCGCAACCCCACAGCGGACCTGAAGCCAGGAAAGAGGCCCAATAGACTGCATGACCTTATTAGGGCATAGTGCTTATCACAGGAAACTTATGAGGGATCTGTCCCTAGTGTTACCACACAAAAAGCCATTTCTGCAGTTTCCGTATTGTACTGTTCTTCCTAATAAGGGGAAGACAGTGGGGCACTAAAAAACCAATCAACGTGTGCCACATTCACTTCCCAAAAGTATATACTTAGTCGCCCCTGTATAGCAATTAGAGATGTCCCGAAAACGAATCTACGTCACGGCCAGTCCAGGTCTGATCAATTTGGGCTTGACCCTCCTGCTCCCCAATCCAGCCTGAGCGCGAGTCGTATAGCCCACTCAAACTCATTATGTATATGCTCTCCTATCTTGCTGTTATCTGCATGGTTCTAAGTAATTAGTTAACGATCATTGCTTTGTGGTTACTTTGCTTGTTACCCTATACTGTGGTTAGACTGAAAAAGGCCTCAATTGTTAATGTGTTTCCTTTCCCTTATCTTGTAAGTACTTTTTAAAGTTAGTTACATAATAATTGCAAGTGTTACAAATTTAGTTACATAGTAATTATAGTTGCTTAAAATCTGTTACATAGTATAGTAGCAAGTTAATAAGAATTCATAAAATTAACATTTTATTATAATTATCATATAATAAAATTGAGTTATATCCATTTCTCCTCGTCCTGGGTCATTCAACTCAGTCCTTCACTGAGAACCCCTAAAGAACCACAAGCCCCTTTTGGTCTGAACACTCCCCACCCCAGCTCACCTCTGCTCCGCCTCCTCCCCGAGCACGCTGCCCCCAGCTCTAATTCTCCCCACCGCCCCCGCTCTAATTCTCCTCCCCTCCCAGGCTTGCGGTGCCAAACAGCTGATTGGCGCCACAAGCCTGGGAGGCGGGAGAAGTGGAGCAGCGACGGCATGCTGTGGGAGGGGGCGTAGCGGAGGTGAGCTGGGGTGGGGAGCTGCGGCAGGCTCCCCGGGCCAGGGGGGTGGGGAGCTGCCGTGGGGGGGAAATTGGGAGCACTGCTTTTTGGTGCCCCCAAATCTTGGCGCCGTAGGCAACCGCCTAGTTCGCCTTAATGGTAGCACCGGCCCTGCCTGTGGGTGCTCCAGCCCTGGAACACCCACGGAGTCGACACCTATGCCAGGGCTCCCCGCAGCGGCAGGAGCCCTGGGCCCTTTAAATCACCGCCCGAGCCCGGCTGCCAGACCATACCGGCTTACTTTCACCTCTGCCCATGGGCCACAGAGACCAAAAGCCAACCTCACCTTAAAGTCCTCCATGTGTTCTGAAATGCCTTTTCCTGACTCCCCAGCTTGGCAAGTAGGCCTAGGAGCTCAGCCTAGCTGTGTGAAACTGCCCACCAGACCATGCCAGCTCCATGCATTAGACATGTTCCTGCCTGGAGCAGACAGGAGGCATTGGATCTCCTGGGCCTGTGGGGAGAATAGGCTGTGCAAGCACAACTACACACCAGCTGTAGAAATGTGAGCAAAATTGCATAGGGGATACAGGCAAAGGGGTACAACAGGGATCAGCAGCAGTGCCACATGAAAGCGAAGGAACTTCGCCATGCATGCCACAAGGCCGGGGAGGGGAACAATAGATCTATCACTGAGCCTGCAGACCTGCTGCTTTTACAACAAGCTGCATGCCATACTTGGCGGAGCTCTAACCGACACTCTGTAGACAACTGTTTATACCAGGTAGGGTGACCAGATGTCCCGATTTTATAGGGACAGTCCTGATTTTTGGGTCTTTTTCTTTCAGTGGCTTCTTTTTCCTCCCACCCCATCCCGATTTTTCACATTTGCTGTCTGGTCACCCTA